AGCCAGCGCCTGCGCCAGCCGTGGCTCATTTGCCAATCCGTCTGCCTGCTCCTGTTGCTGCAGGATAAAGGCCTCGAAACGGTCTCTCCAGCTGGGACTTGGAGAACGTCGCGCCTCCCTGCAAGTTGGGGGGCTCTCACCAAGCTCCATACTCTGCGCCTGCGCGATCCGCCCCAGCAATGCCTCCCTCCTTGCGGCCGTCTGGGCGGCCCAGGTGGGGCCATTCAACTCGTTGAGATCCTTCGGGCCTGGGTTGGTCTTGGACCCAGCAAAATCCAGCTTTTGTTTACAGTCCGAGGGGGGACTTCGTAACTGCTTTATAGTAATACAGTAAATTGGGGCTCCTTAGCTCCCATTTGATGATTTGAATCATCTCTGGGACCTTGGCTCTCCAAAATCCATCGCCAGTAAACTGGGTGCATAAACAAGCGGTCCGGGGCGCAGAAACAAAAGAAGAAGAAGAAGAAGAACAAATGAAGAAAAATCAAGGAAAACAACATCCCCTTGGGCTTCCCTTTGGGCTATTTCCTAGTGGGCCATTTGGCACCCAAAGGAGAGGCTAACACCAAAGACCAAGAGGCTATCCCTGGACTCGGACAGCGCCAGGCGCAAGTCCTCCGCGTGGCCCTCCAACTGCGCCAGGCACTGCCCCGTGGCCTAAGGGGCCATTCGGCCAGCGGTTTCAACCACTTTATGCAAATGAAGATCTTTTTTGGAGGACGAGCCCTTGTTTCAACACGTTCTTCAACTGTTGATGGACAAACACAAATGTTGGCGTCTCTTCAAAGGAGTTTTACCAGGACTTTCAAACCACTATTGTTTAAAGCAAGTTCCTTTTGCCTTCCCTTCGGAGGAATTGGCCCAGGGTTTGGAGCCAGCCAATATCGTTGAACAATCCCCTCTAACCAAAACTCCACCCCCTTTTTTCCTCGAGGCCAGGCAAGAGTTGGTTCCCATTGAAGGGGGTCTCCAAAAATAGTGGCTGTTGTTTCAAAGACAATTTGCTTCTCGTTGCTTCCGCCTCCGCCACCTCCGCTGCCTCCGCCCGCAGATCCGCAGCCTCCGCCGCCAGCCGCGCGGCGGCCCGGCGCAGCGCCGCCGCCCGCGCCGCCCGCGCCCGAGGGTCCACCAGGTCCATGGCCGCGCTCAAGGGTGGGGGAGCTCGGCCCAAAGGTTTTGCGAAAGCATGGGAAATTCTGGGCCTGGACCCTCAAACTGCATTTGAAAGAGGGAAAAAAGGCCAAAAGAATTGGCCAACATCACATTGGGCGAAAAACCCACGGAACAGCAGGAAACTGGCGAAGGGATGTGTCATGCGGCCAAAGAGCACCTCGCAAAGAGCGGGCGCCTCCTTTGCGAACTTCTTGTCCACGATGACCCCTGGCACTTGCGCTGGGCAAAATGAAGGTCTTTCTAGCTGCCTGAATTGCTAAGCAAAGCCGGGAGGACCATTCACCAGCTTTCCCTTTGGCATCCTGCGGTGGGAGCATGCTAACGGCCGGAGCAATGAACATTTATCAATTTATCACGCCAAGGAACTCCACGCCGATTTTGGTGAACTTCTCACGCAAGCCTCTGGCCTAAGCAGGTCGAATCTAAGTTCCTCATTCAGCTTCGCGCAGAAACTGCGGCCTATTTAAAGCGAAGGCCATTACCGCGAGAACAAGGAATTCATTGAGCTCATGCCGAGTGCCGGGCCAATTGCAGTAAACCTTCCTTAACCTCCAAGCGACTCTTCTTAGCACAAAGCAACGTGCATGTGCTGCACATAGTAGTCTCCCCGGCCTGCGGGGCCTGCAATGACGATGCGGCTCCATCCGCAGGTGACAACGACACCCTGCAAGGCACTTCAAAAAGCCAAATCAGCATAGCCGGCGGTTTTCAGCCCTTTGGAGATGCTTCAAAAGGGAAACCAAGATGAAACCAAACCCTATTCGGGGCACCCTTTTTGACAAATGCACATGCCTCGCCTTTGGACAATCAAATGAGTTCCACTGTTATAAATGGTCAGAACCAAACCGAGAACAGATTGGTCCATTCATATTCATTCCCAACTGACCTAGCAAGGACACCGAAACAAGCAGGGACTGGGCGAGAGCAGAAACTGCCCACAACAACGGCCATAAGTCAAAGCCGAGGACCGCACTTGCCGCAGCTGACCTGCAAGGTCCTCTGCGGCTTCTTGAGCCGCTGAGCCCGAAAGTCCACCCACAGCTCGTAGGTCTTTGTGCCCTCGTAAGCTGCGCGGGGCGCGGGCCCCCTCCGCAGGAAGTGACAAACCCCACAGTTGTTTGTTCCCCATGTTCAAACCCCTAAGTGGTGTTGAAGCTAAAGGGTTGGAGTTGAGAAAAGCAGCCCTTTGCAGAATGCAGGCCAAGGCGCTTTAGGCAGACGAGCATGGAACATGCGTCCGAACATGGATGATGGGTCGGCGAAACAAACGCTGCAGAAGCGTAGCAGCACGTCCGGCCTCCGGCCCCGCCATCCTCACATGGCACGCCTGGGCTGTGCATGCGTGTTTTGCATCGGCCTCATGTCAAGTTGCAAGTCGCCCAAACATCGCCCCTTTCCGCGCAGCTCACGTTTGGTGCCATTGGCAAGCTCGCCTGCATCGTGCTTCCGCTTCCGGCCCGCGAGCTGCGCACGCCGAAACCGCCACACAACAAAGCGGCCATCGGCCGTGGGATACATCTGCACCTCCTCACAGATCTCCGACTGCGCCAGCTGAAAGAGCCGGCCTGTGGGGATATGCTCCTGCGTCACCAGCCAGAGCTCACCCCCGGGCTCCAGCCAGCCAGGGCCTTCCCGAAGCAACTCCAGCAACACGCGCAGGTCATTCGAATGACCATCGTGAATTGGCGGGTTGGAGATGATGAGGTGAAAGGCTTCCGGAGTTGCCTCCCCCCACCTAAAGCCGTCGGCCAAAACCATTTGGGCTTTGGGTAGGTTCCTCCCAGCTGCTTCCAAAGCTGCTGCGTCCGCATCCAAAAGCCAGCAGCTATCCACCGCCATCAAGTCCATGACACCAGCAGCAAGGATTCCTGTCCCGCTGCCAAAATCCAAGACCTTGACAGCCTGCTTCCATGGCTTTGCGCTTCCCACTTCCGCCAGTGTGTCCAGCAAAAACCTGGACATCACGTCCACTTGCCCGCCGGCGAAAAGCCCCGGCACCGACCACCAGTCCCGTGGCCCGCCGAGATCCACGGAGCCCTTCTTGAGCCACTCGCTGTGGGCTTTGGCCTTGCCCTTGGTGCGGCGCGCCGTGATGACCCGCACGTCTCCCGCCTCTTGGATCTCCACCGGCCGGAAGAGCCCTTTGATCAAACGTGTGGTGCTCAGCACCCCCTCCCGCACGTCCCCGTAGACCCACAAGAAGGCGCCTTTCGCCAGGCCGGAGGCGACACCGTGGAGGGCGTACTCGAAGGCATCGCTGGAGTCCGGGTACCGCATGGCGCAGGCGTCGAAGGGCCCAGGCGGCGGCCAGGGCGTCCCTGCGCACTTGCCGGAAGCAAAGCGCCGCCACAAAGTCACCTCGAAGCCGGCGTCCTCCAGGGCCGGTCGCACGTGGCGCCCAGACCCGCAGACCAACACCGACTTCCCTGCCCTGGCGCGCTTCGAGTTCCTCCACGGCTGCAGCTCGGCCACCGCCACCAGCGGCCCCTCCCGGGCTGCCTTGCTGGCCGCCTGGATGCGGCCCACCTCCTCCCCGCAAATCTCAGTGAGCGAGCCAAGCAGCTCCTCCCCCTTCGCGGGCCTCGAGCTGCAGTTGGGCTTGGATGTGGATCCCCTTTGGCATTGCTTGGGCATTCAAACTTCAAACCCGCACCGCCGGCTTTCCCAAATGCCAACAGTGTTCAACACAAAAATTGTGCAACGCTGTGCTTCCTGCCCTATCCCTATCCCTCCTTTCGGGGAGGCAAACTGGAAATCTGGCCTTCGTTTCTCAACGCCACGCCTGCCCGCAGCAGAAAGGGCATACTCCAAGTGAGCGGCGGACCACCAGTTCAGCTCGGGGAGTACCTCCTTTCCGCGCTGCACCAGGCCGGACAGCACCTGCAGGTATTAATTTTCATTAGGAGCTGTTGGTGGTCATCGTTTTAGGTTAACCGGCGAGGGGTTGATTCCCCATTCTTTTCAACCATCGTTCTTTCCAAAAACCGGCCGTTTTCCCCGAGTTTCCGGAGGTTTCCTAGAAAGAAGGATCCCTGGAAAGAATGGGGAAGGTACCCCTAAAAGTTTGCATTTTGGCTGAACTTGGGATCTCGGTCTAGTGAGGAACCTTCCAACTGACACAAACAAACTCCTAACATGCCTGGGGCTGAGTCGGAATTCACTACCTTTCAACGCCTTGTGGTCCCCCCCCCACTCCCTGACACCCCCCACCCGGCCCCACCCACATCCATCGCCCAGGGAAAGCAACAGGCAACATCACCCCCCAAAAGCCGGGGAGCCCAAACAGAGGGGAACTTCAATTTGGTTTCTTCAGCCAACCCCCCACAAGTGGTCACAAAACCTACCAACCACCCCACCCCTTCCCCCCCCCCCCCGGACCCCCACCCACCCCCCGACGAACCACTCCACCACTCCACCAAAAACCAAGGACCAAACCACTCCACTCCACTCCGGCGCCTTCTTCCAGCCCTTGGGCTTCAAAGTGGCCAAGGCCCAGGCGCTGATTCCCAGCTCCTGCGCCCCGAACTTCTCGAAGAGCAGCTGGACGTTGCGGCCCAAAGCCGCCGCCAGCTCCGGGAAGTCCACGCCTTCGGCGGTCCAAACCCCACGCCAGGCGGGCGGACCTCGCCCTTAACCGTGCGTTTTTGTTTGTTTGTTTATTAAGGGGTACCTTCCATGGTTGGGGGGGGTCACCGGGGTCGGTGGAAAGATTTGGTCAAACATACAGCTCCTGGCCACCTTTGAAGGGAAACCAACATGATATTGTTTGAAACAAGGGGTTGGCCCAACCAGGGCCAAGGAACAGGGGTTTGACGGAATTGAGTTGTCTTGGAATCTGAATGCTTTTTTGTCCAGGCATCCTGCCAACAAACACGGTTTGGCGCATACACGGCATCAAAAAACTTCGAGCATGCAAAAATGCATTCCCAATCAAAGGACCCCATGTCAAATGTGCAAAAATCGCTTGTCCGCTTCCCAAAAGCAAATACTGCAGGATACCGGTGTTCAATGTCCAATTTCAGGGCATCAGCTGTCCAACAAAATGTCCCAGGCAGCCCTCTACCTCCCTGCTCACCCCCAATGAGGGCTTCAAAGCACCCCCTAACTCCCCAAACCACCATGGAAGCTCTGAAACCCTACTTTGTTGATTCCAGGTTCAAGGATTCCATCAAGACCTTCCCCCAGCCCAGGTGCAGCCCTGGGCCTACATATCCATTTGGAACAACCCATGGCAAGGGCACATGATTTTGGAACCAAAGTTTGAAACCTATCCATGTTCAATCAAACTCGCCTAATTGGACGCCTGTGGCCCTTGGATTCAAGGCCCGTATGATAGACACTTGAGGTCTGATTGCAACCTTGTTTTTGTGTAGGGTGTTCGGTGTTTAGGCTTTGCCTCTGCTAGATCGACCTTTTGTGGCAGTCGACTGCACCCACCCCTTCCCTCTCCGCAGGCCCAGAAGCCCTCGGCCACTAGCTTCGCCAAGGCCGTCAGCACCCGCACGCTGACGTGGGCCCCCATCTGCGGCGCCAGCTGGGTGGCGCGGGCGCCCAGCACCCGCAGCAGCTTACCCCGAGGCACCTTGTAACGTCCAACAACCTACTGATCCCAATGTAGGGTCTTAGGGCCCCCACCCCCACCCGCCAGTATGGTTCTCAGAACCCTTCTTAGAAGTTTAAGAGGGTTCCGGGCTAGGGACCTCTCCCAACTTGTGCGCGAGCCTTTAGTTGCATCCCTGCAACTGTCTGGGTGAATTTCCCTGCGGCGTCCTCTTCAACCCACTTCCAAATAACGGGCGCAACCGACCTCTACTGCAGTCCCCGATCTGAGCAAACCCTCTTCAGCCGTCCTGAAACACGATCAAACCAGAGTTTGGTTTCTGGACCAAGCAGAATACGCAAACGCTCAAACGAGCACACAAAAGCCCAAGCACGCAAACATGCAAGCGCACAAGCATGCACACATGCAAACATGTGGACAAACAAGCACACCACAAAAAAAGCAATCACAATTAAGCAAGCGCACACACACACACACACAACTGCAGGCTGAGCACGCAAACGCACCAAGAACACGCGCCCGCAAAAATCCAAGCTCGGCAAAAAAAAGGACACAAACAAGCAACCACACTACAACGCAGGCACATAAGCACATAAAACACAATTACAAAGACGCAAGCACGCGAGCACACAAGCTGGAAAGCACAAAAGTAAACTTCACGCAAGCACACATGTAAACAACCATGCAAAGGTAAACCTTGCAAACACACGCACAAAGAAAGAAAGAAAGGAAGCACACCAACAAACAAGCAGCTGTTAGCACACAAACAAACAAATACATGAAACCACAAGCCCGCAAACCAACAACTTAACGAACACACAAAACAGCAGGAACACAAGCAAACAAAAACAAAGCATAAGGGCGCGCAAACAATCCAGCACAAAACTGCGCAAGCACACAACAACATGAGCAATCATGCACACAAGCATGCAAGCACACAAGCATGTAAGCAAACAAGCACACAAGCACACACGAGCACACAAACCCACAATACAGGCGAGCAAACAACCAGCCGGCACGCAAAAGCACGCGATAAGCATGCAAGCAAACACACACGCACACACACCCAGACACAAGCTCACAAGCACAAAAGCATGCAAGCAAGCAACAAGCACACAAGACCCTACGAACACTAATATGCACAAAACAAAACAATCAAACACACACACACAAATCATCACAAATTCATCAACACAACAACACATACGCAGACACAAGCAAGCAAGCAAAGCAAAGAAAGGCAAAACAATGCAACACAATGCAAAGTAAAGCAAAGCAAAGCAAAACAAACACGCGAGCACAAAAACACATGCGGCACACAAAACCAAAACACATAAACAATCAAGCAAACAAACAATCAAACAAACAAGCAAGCAAACAAACAAGCAAGCAATAAAGCACAAGCAATCAAGCAGGCAAGCCAGCATAGACACATACAGACATACAGACCGTTAAGCATACAAAACAGGCAGGCACACAAGTACAGGCATAAATTCACACACCGTCAAACTTAAGCACACACACACAAAACAAAAGTACTTACGTAAACACAACACAAGCAAATACAACACAGCAAAAACAAACGGTAAACTAAAGCATGCCAGAAGTTAGAAGAGAAGAAATACACACACACACACACAACTTGACATCCTGACACGGACATCAATAAACGTTCAAACATTTTGCAGGGACGGCGCCCATCGCAAAGTCCCGAAAGACCAAAGGAAGGAGACCACGACCTCCTTACCTTCCAGCGGCGTGTTTTG